TACTACTACTACCACCACCATTACAACAACAACAACAACAACAACAACAACTACTACTACTACTACTACTACTACTAGTACTACGACTACTACTACGACGACGACGACGACGACGACGACTACTACTACTTCTACTTCTACTTCTACTTCTACTACTACTACTACTACTACTACTACTACTACTGCTACTGCTACTGCTACTGCTACTACTGCTACTACTGCTCCTACTCCTGCTCCTGCTCCTACACACCCCTACTCCTACTCATGCTCCTACTCCTCTCCCTCTTCTTTTTCTTCTACTCCTGCTTCTGCTGCTCCGCTCCTGCTCCTACTACTACGACGACTACGACAACCATAACTACGACTGCGACTGCAACAGCTACTACGACGGCAACGACGACGTCTACCACGACGACGACTCAAGATAACAAGAATGCTGATGCAATCAACAGTAAAAGTAACATCAGTAATGACAGCGAAATTTAACAGCAAGTCATCATCATCATCATCATCATCATCCTTGTTATCGTTATCATCATCAACATCATGGTTATCATGAGCATCACCATCGACAATCGTCATCATCACCATCAACAGTCAACACTATCATCAGTATCACCATCACCACAGTAAGAAAACTTTCCTATAGATGGCTGCAATTTGTGAAGACAACGTTGCCGTGAGTCCTGGTCTACTCCTGCTACTGGCCCGATTATTTCCACTGCTACTGCTGCTGCCGCTCCTCATCCTAATCCTGCTTCTTCCTTCGCCCTAGTCTCCATCTTTGCTTGTCAGTGCTGGTGGCGAGCACACTCGTTGACTGTAAGGGGGCACCCCCAACTCGGAAGGGATTTCGGAATTGAAAATCCCTAATCAGGCCGTCGACGCTCATCCACGAAACCCTGCCGCACTCAGCTGGCGAAAGGCTCGCAGGCTGTGATGGCTGAGCTAAAGCCGATCAAGTCGGCGACCTTCGGCATGTTTCAGGGGTTCGGGATTGGTCGCCTCCATCCATAACCCCTCGCAGGTGAGGGAATTTTGGGGACATGTCGGCTTGAGGGTTCAGGGCCCGAAGCTTGAGAACAACGACCGTCCTCCTCGCCCCAACCCGAACAGACATAAATCGCCGACTAAGTCATGCGAACCCACCGCAGGCCCAAACCCTAAACCCCCACATACTCCATGCCTCCTATCACCTCCCAGATCCATAGCCTCCTCTTCGCTGGCAGCAGCCAACAGCGCCAAGGCCTCGCAGGGACTCCGCCAACTCCGGAAGTGGCTTTCGGGTGCCTGTAACGGTTCGGTTTAGGGTTTAGGGTTTAGGGGTTTAGCCCCTTAGGGGTTTAGCGGTTTAGGATTTATTAGGGTTTAGCACTTTAGGGCTTAAACTCTCCCGCCTGGGCCCAGAGGCCCCGGGTCGCGCAGCCCGCTATCGCCGCATTGAAGGTGATGGCCCCAGGCCGCAATCGAAGAACCTACCCAAGGGCTCCATGTAATGTACCCTAAGGGTCCATGTACTCAAATAGTATATACATTGGCCTTAATGTAGTCCCTATATAGGTACTTTAGGGCCCATGTATATGCTATATGAGTACATGGACCCTTAGGGGTAGGGGCCTTAAGAATTAATTATAGAAAAGGGTTCCTTGAAATGGAGCCTTCAAGTCTCAAAGGGGAAAAGGGTTCCTTGAAATGGAGCCTTCAAGTCTCAAAGGGATCTACAAGGGCTACTGTAAGGGTTTAGGGTGTAGGGGCCTTAATAATTATAGAATAGGATCTTGGTGTATATTGTGGTATCATTATAATAGGGAACCCCCGGAGTAATATAGGTAAGTATTAAGGCCCATATATTACCCAACTAGTCTTCCTTCAAGGGCTCCATTAAGGCTCCTTAAGGGATCTACAAGGGGTCTATAGGGTTGAGGGTACAAGGGTCCATGTACCCATCTCGTATATACATTCGCCCTACAGTATAGGGACCCCTTTAAGGCCTAGGTATATACTATATAGGCACATGGAGCCTTAGGGCTAGGCTTCGCACCCAACGCTGTTTTTGCAGGGCGTGTGAACAGGCTGTTGCGCAGGATCTGAGGCGCTGTATAGTTGTGTCTATAGAGGATCTTCCTTTTGTTGTTGTAGAGTTGCTCTAGGGCTGCACGCTTCTTGTTGTACAGGCTTTCGGTCTATGACCTGATCTACTTCAGATAGGGATTGGGGTGATATCGCCGGATAAGTACACGCAGACCCGTCATCTTTCCATGATGTTGAATGACATGGGTATGAGGCAATGCAGAATTCACGAAACTGCGTCCAATCCGCCAAGCATGATAAGAGAGGCTTCTGAATTGAAGGCGATGGCTCTGCAAGCCTAAACCCTTAAGCCCGAGCCCTAAATCCTGAAACCCTGGAGGGGAAGCCAACAACTGGTCTGTAGGATACCGATTGCGAGATCGAGACAAGACTGACTAGACTCACAAACGTCATGGGTAGATACTACAGGGTTTATTGCAAGTGTTACAATAGGGTTTTCAGGCTACTAAATAATATTAACACGGAAACGACAAACCCTCCCCTAGAACCCTGCAGACAAGCAACCCATAATCCTATCCTGGAACCCGAAATCACACACCCCACTCCAGAAGCATGCTGAATACAGCTTGCCGCGGAACATTTTCCATAAATCATGAAACCATCGAAACACCAAAACCTGATGAACTCCCGAACCAGTAATACTCCAAGCCTTAAGCCGTAAACAAAACCTTAAACCCTAACAATGTGAATCATTAGCTGAAATCTGCAAGGCAACGACAAGGTCGGAGAGTAGTTGCGCACCCTCCTCCCATCGTCCGGCCTCCAGGGTTCATGGCTTTAGGGTCCAGGCTTTTTAGTGATTAAGGAATTTAGGGGTAAAGGTTCAGGGTTCAGGGTTTAGGCTTTGATTAAGGCATTTAGGGATGATGAAGGAATTAGGGTTTAGGGTTTAGGGTTTGATTAAGGAATTTAGGGTGCAAGGTTTAAGGTTTTTTTCCGGTGCACGGGTTAGGGCTTTAGGTACCTTGGGCTTCCGTGTGAGGTTGGATTTGCTTAAGACTTTAGGGTCACGGACCCATGGAGGTTTCAGGATTTCCCTAAGGGTCCATGTACCCAAATAGTATATACATTGGCCTTAATGTAGTCCCGATATAGGTACTTTAGGGCCCATGTATATGCTGTATGAGTACATGGACCCGTACGGGTTGGTGGTTTCGTTGGAGCATCAAGGGACTCCAAAGGGTCCTATGTAAATTATAAACAAACCCTAAACCCTAAACCCTAAACCCTAAACCACATTGTGGGGACTTTAGCTTCAGAGAGGGTAGAGAAGTTGCAGTGGGGCTTATGTAAGCTGTCACTCCAGGTCAGGTTGTGAGACCCTACACCCTAAACCCTACACCCTATAAGCCCTAAGCCCTAAACCCTACACCCTATAAAAACCCTGTAAGCCCTAAACCTGTGGTTCGGATCCCAGGGTTTGATGCTCGGATCTTGGTAGGCGTTCCGGCTGTCAGGGCTTCGCGTACGCTCGAAGGGCGTATTTTGCTACGGCAAGAGTTGGTTTGTGACGCTAATATAGGGGCCTTATAATAATTAGAATAGGGTTTGGGGGCCCATTCTACTCTGAAATATACTAAGAGTACTTACCCTAAACCCCCCCAGGTACTTACTATTTTAGGGCCTTAGGGGCTCTAGTGCCCTAAAAAGTAGGTACCCCGGGGGGGGTTAGGGTATTTAGGCCCCTACATTCCTAGACCCCCCAACTACCCTCTACTATACCCCAAATACCTACTATTAGGGACCATAAGGGCTCCATTAAAGGGCCATTGGGGGGTCCTGGTTATGCCGGTCCATCATCAGTTGCAGGTCTGTGAGGCGCAGAGTTCCGTAAGCTCCGGCCCGGATTCACTGGAGGCCGGTGATTACGAATGCTATCTTAGCTCGTGGTATACTGTATCTATACCGGAAATAAAGAGCTACGACGTAGCATTATATACCTCCGGGACATTATAATCTGCTTTGCCAAGATTTCTGAGAAGAGGAAACCCGCTTGAAGTATCATAGACTGGAGTTCTTGCAAACTCGCCAGGCTCCAAGGTGCCTTCGCGCAAGCGCTGATGCAAGTGTTGTAGCTGACCTGACGGGTGGGATTTATGATCATTATTTTTGAAGGCTGTTTCCCTACCTATTACAGCCAGCTGAGGGGATTCACCCTAAACCCTCAACCCCTAAGCCCTCAACCCTGAACCCCTAAGCCCTCAACCCTAAGCCCCAAACCCCCAAAGCCTAAACCCCAAACCCCGCACCCCTGAGCCCCAAACCGGAATTAGGCAGGGCTTTAGGGGCGGTCTGGCCCTAACCGTTTAGGGTTTAGGGTTTAGGGTTTAGGGTGGGCTTTAGGGGCGGTCTGGCAAGCCTAACCCGCCTGGTACCTACTATATAGGGTACTAGAGCCCCTAAGGCCTAAACCCTAAACCCTAAACCCTAAACCCTAAACCCCTAAGGCTCTATATAGCAGATACCTGGGGGGTTAAGGCACCCTAAACCCTATAAACCCTAAACTATAAACCCTAAATGCGCTTTGTAGTAGGTACCTGGGGGGTTAAGGCACCCTAAACCCTAAACCCTAAACCCTGAACCCTAAATGCGCTTTGTAGTAGGTACCTGGGGGGTTAAGGCACCCTAAACCCTAAACCCTAAACCCTGAACCCTATATGCGCTTCGGGGGGTTCAGGCAAGGTACAGAGAGCTCTCGTCTCAGAAGCTCCAGGCTGAGGGGTCAAATGTGCAGCTGCACCGTGAAACCTAAATAAGAAGCGTAGGATGAGGGCCTCACCTACAGTAAGGTTTAGGGTTTAGGGTTATAGGGCTTAGGGTTTAGGGTTAAGGTTTAGGGCTTAGGGTTTAGGGTTATAGGCTCCATTGTAGTTCCCTTTTTTGGTTTATACTTCACTCAGGTATCCTATCAGGTAATAACAAAAAGGAACTGCTATGGAGCCTGTGGGGAATAGCCAGAATATAAGGGTTCTGCAGGGGTTTAGGGTTATTTTAACGGGCTTCTGGACGGGTTTAAGGTTTGGGGTTTAGGGTAATATGGGGTGAAAATAACCTTCAAGGTTTTCCCTTTAAAGGGTCTTAGAAGGGATACTATAAGGGCCCTGTACTACAGAGGCCTTAATAATTAGAATGGGTCTTGGGGGGTATACTATACCATCGCTGTAATAAGGAACCCCGTCAAAAATAGTGTCGATCATAATTTCGACCCTTATCTTAAACGTATACATTAGCCGAACCAAACCTTTTGTGGGAATTTTCTGTTGATTTGGGGACTTGTTCTGCTTTCGTGGTAGGTTGTTTATTAGGTGACTTCAGAGATGTGTGAACAAACGTGGGTCTTGAGATGTAAAGCCTCTTGCTAGCTGCACGACCCTATCGAAAGCAATAACTATAATAGCATCCCAAAACACCCAAACTCTAAACGTTCCAGCGCTGAATACCCGCACAATTCAAACAAATATATACCCCCAAAAAAATCAGCAACATCCGCAAAAAGCTAAACCTCACACCTCCAAACTGCCAAGCCCAAAACCCAAAGCCTCAAACCCTAAAGCTGTATTGAACCCGTAAAGGAACCCTTGCAGTACTCTTCATAGCCCTTCCAGCCCTGGGATGCCCGGGTAGTAGCCCACATAGACCCCTCAAGACCAGTCCTACTGCGCACCTCGGACCCCAGCAGCTGTTGCTGCGGCAGCTCCTCGAGTAAGGCCCTTGGTTCATAGGGTTTCGGGTTTAATTACCCTAAGGGTCCATGTACCCAATAGTATATACATTGGCCTTAGTGTAGTCCCTATATAGGTACTTTAGGGCCCATGTATATGCTATATGAATATATGGACCCTTAGGGTTAGCATCTTTGGGAGAGCGCTTGCTTATTACCGGGGGTCTATGAGGGTTAAGGGTTACTAGGGCTCAGCTTTCAGTGGTCAGGGGTATTCCAAGGGCCGCAAAGGACCGAATGCACCAAAGCACCGAACTTATGGTTCCGGATTCAGTCTTGTGTCCGTTTAGGGTTTAGGGGATGAGAATCAAGAAGAGTGTGGGGTATCAGAACCGAGTCGGTGAGAAAGATGAGGGACCTTTGCTCACTTGCCCCAAGGGTCCATGTGCCCATATGGTATATACTTTGACCCCAAGGGCAAAGTACCTAACAAACAACCTCGCGACTGCGTAGAAACTTTAGTGAAGAGGGCAAATCGTCATGTGAGTGCTGCATAGCGCTGGCCTCAACACGAGCCCGGCGCTTTCATGACCGACTGCACTCCTGGATGGGTAAAAACCGTGTGTTGCTGCAGGTCGTGTGCAGATGCATTTGTAGTTTGGGAGAGGACTGTGCGTGTTGCCAACTGGCTAATGCCCCTGCCACTAAATAAATCAGCGCTGAGTCTCAGCGCCGCCTGCCACTGCCCACCTTGCAGGCAGCATTGCTGATGCTACTGCTCTTAGATGCAGGCCGCAGAAATCGCGCGGCTGTGCAGAGTAACAGTAGATGTGCTTCAGGTACTACTAACTGACAGGACCGCCCATAACCAACATCGAACGGCCGACCACTTCTGGAGACGAACCACCGCTAGTCATTGCACTTTTGAACATGAGGAAAACTGATTCACTACTAAGCCCCGCTGCACCTACAGCCGCCCATCTGGAGCGTGATACAGCCACTGCGGTTCGCCCACACACACACACACACACCCTGACCCCCCAGGTACCTACTTTATATAGGGTACTAGAGCCCCTAAGGCCCTAAATAATAGGTACCTGGGGGGTTAGGGCCACACACACAGATCTCAAGCGACATCTGTCCAAGCCACTCTTGGCACAGGCGCTGATGGCGGTGTTGAAGACGATGACATCGCTACGCAGCTGCATTTCCTGCCAAGCCCTAAACCCTCCTACTGTAGGGGCTTAATAATTAGAATAGGCTTTCGGCCTATAATCTACTACAAGTGTAAGGAACCCCTATATTAACCCCTTAACCAGGACTGCAGGGATGGGTTTGAGGCTCCTAAAACAAAGCCAGTGGTGCCAACTTGTGCCGTGGCTGTTTGGAGCTAAGGTTGCTACTGAGATACCATTTCCTTGTCAGAGTCTACCCTATAACCCCCCAAGGTTAGGGGCTCTAGTACCCTATGTAGTAGGTACGTAGGGGGGTCAGGGATTTCCTTGTCAGAGTCTACTACAAGTCGGGCCCTCTCTCCACAAAGTTGATCATTAGTGGCGGTCACATGCTGGTGGCACACCTCCCTGAAGGCTCCCCGCCATCTGCATTCTCTGTCTCTACAGGCTTGTGTTCGGCCGTGCTTGTGGCTTTACCTATAGTCTCCATTGTAGTTCCTTTTCGGGGTTACCTTTTAGGATCCTTAATATAAAAATGGTTAAACAAAAAATTACAATGGAGACTATAGGTAGGTCTTCAGATTTCGAGGCTCAGGTTTGGGTCTATGGGCTGTGCAAGTAATCAAGCACACGGAAGAAACAGCTGCCACTGGAATTGGGTTGCTATCCTTCTCGTACTGCTACCTATGTTCGAGCACCGCCAGGGTGACGACGCTGCTGCTGCCACTTGTCGCGCTGCTGCTGCTACCGCTGCCAACTGCACCGACTGCTATTGAGACAACGAATAAGTGGCGAAGTCGACCAGGACGACGACTGAGTCACTGAGTCCCTAATTTACATTAACCGTCCACAACCGGAAGCGTCATAGACCTGATAACAGCAAGCTACCGCCGAGGCTCAAATATCTACATGTCACATCCCGAAACTCTGTTGCACCGTACGAGTCCCCATCAGAAAGATCATGCTCGTATGACACCCTAGACCCCTGAACCCTGAACCCCTAACCCCTGCCTGGTGTTGGGGTTCAAGATTAACAAGCCAGGCTTCCAGACACGTTCTATGACGTGGCAGGCGAGGTGCACGTTGAAAGGTTGACACCCCCAGAAAAAGGCCCCAAAAGTCATACTAGATACTCAAAAAATGCACAATCGCTCGTAGACGCTTCCCTGTGGTCCAGAAGTTGATCCAAAAGCGCCAGAGACTGCTGCCACTGCTGACCTTTGGCCTCGTGGCATGAGTGGAAAAGCTCTGGCTTCGCGGCTTTGCAGAACGCTCATGGAGAAAGTCTCTTCCAGTTACAAGTTCTGCGCCTCCAGCGATTCACATCTGGGGGGGGGGGGCAACTGTTCGGATTGAGTGACTCTTAGCCGTTGGCTCTGGGACCTTGTCAACTAATCTGGGCTCCAGGCTTCGGAGTAGGACTTGACATGTTGATCCTGGCGTTCCTGGTTGTTCTGCTTGCATTTTTTGCACGCATCGCTTGGACAGATGTAAGTTAGCTGCTGTGTTTGTGGGTTCTTCTGAAAGCCTTCTACAAGCTCTATGCAGACCCCATAAGCAATGGAAAGCAAAGTATCGGGACACCAAAAACATATGGGTAGTTGTCAGAATTATGGTCCCTTTTGGGGTACCCTAAATAATAAGTGCCGTATTATAATCAGGACCCAAAAAGGGACCATAATTTTGACAACCACCTATATGTTCATGCAAGGAGGGAGCGTATGTCTTTGCTGAATCAGAGGCGAGCTTCGCATGCACCGATGGCCGCACTGTACAGAATCACGTCCACCTGCAGACCAAGCAAAGTGCTCTACGTTTCAGTGTCGTCCAAGGGCCCCCCAAAATTAGACATCGAAGTCTTCGCACCTAGGAAAGCCTAAACCGCCAAGCAACTTGAGATCTTCGTGGCTTTGGTTCGAACGGAGGGTTTATCCTGCGCTTCACGTTTTGTCTGTTCGTGAAAACTCATCTAGGGTTCAGAATTCGGCTTCGGTAGATGAATTCTGGCATCTGAATTACTCACTCTCTGTTTCCTGACTAGTGATATCTTCTTGGTTTTGGCTCCTCTGCGAAGCCAGGGCGGAAACAAAGATAAAAAGACAACCATAGAATCGTACATCATGATTGCCCCCCCCCCCCCAAAGTGCACAACTCCGAAACGGACAGAATACTCCAACGGCGCATCCCCCAAATCCAAAGTCCTCAAACGCCAAACTCAATCGAAGCCTTCATCAACCCCAAACCCTAAATCCTGAAGCCTCATATCATAGAAACCTCATTGCCAATTACTCCTAATGTGTAACCTAATTGGTAGCCTTATACTAACCTTAGCAACCCTTATGGCAACCCTGGTGACCTTATGGTAGCCTTATACTAACCTCAGCAACCCTAATAGCAACCCTCATGATCTGTTGGTAGCCTTATAATAACCTCAGCAACCCTTATAGCAACCCTTATGATCTTTTGGTAGCCTTATACTAACCTTAGCAACCCTTATAGCAACAACCCTAAACCCTAAACCCTTATGACCTCATGGTAGCCAGTTAAAAAAAAAGGATCGGAGGACTGCCTGCAGCTCGTTCCTCGAGGTGTCCTTCAGCAGTGCCAAAGCCGCCTGCGGTGCAACATAATATAGGGACAATTAGAATAGGGATAGAGGGTTCCTTTAAAGGGCTCCTTAAAGGGTTCTATAAGGGCTACTATAAGGGCTTAGGGTGTAGGGACCTTGATAATTAGAATTGGGTTTGTGGGCCCATGATACGATAAGTAATTATAAAGAGGAGCCCAAAATAATATAGCTAATTATCAAGGCCCCTATGTTAAACCCAGCCGTCGGGGTTTGTGCATGTGGGTGTAAACATCTATACACAGACAGGTAGAGAGATCGATAGATAGGTAGATAAGGTAGGCAAATGATAGCGCTAGATAGGTAGATCAATAAATAAGTAGAGAGGTAGACAGAGAGATAGGCAGGGCCTTGGGGCTTTCGTAGGGTACTTGATGAAATCGTGCTTTCGCATCGAGATTTAAGTCTTCTGTGTTCCCCTGAGCAGAAACAGTGGTGACCAGAAGCTCGTAGAAGCGCTAGAATGTCTCCCCCACTCGGCAGCACACATGCAAAACAGAAGGACACACAAACAACAGCAACAAGGACAGTGATGACGAGAATCCGTATTAGTATGCGTAAAAGGTGGAGTCATGTGGTTCCACCTCTCTCTCTCTCTCTCTCTCCTCTTCATGAGGTAGACGACCCACATCAACCTTCTGCTTCTCCTACATACAGCTACGAACCAGGGACTGTTGCAAGGCTCTTGAAGTTGTAATGCATCTCCTGACACTTTTGGAAGATGTCGAGACTGTGAACGGAAAAGCTTGACAAGATGTGCAAGAACTGCCAGACTAGCTAAATGCCAGCTGGGACTACAAATGCATTGTGAGAACCCATCAAAGCAGCATTAGTGGTCTCTTCTGTTTAACTACGCCTTACTCCCTCAGGCTGGGTGTAGTACAAGAACGCAGCCCAATGCTGCCGACCTTGAGCCTTGATGCCGAGACTCTATACCCTAAGGGTCCATGTACCCAAGTAGTATATATATATATATATTGGCCTTCATATAGTCCCTATATAGGGACTTTAGGGCCCATGTATATGCTATATGAATACATGGACCCTTAGGGATACTCACTTCAGACAGTCTGACCCGGTTCTCTGTTTTCAGTGTTGGTACTTGTCGATACTGCTGTATCCCCAGCAATAGCAGTCCCAGGATCATGTGATGTGCTTACCGATCAAAACCCGGAGCACTACTATCACGAATGTAGGGGCCTTAACAATTAGAACAGGGTTTTGGGGCCCATTATACTACAATTATAATAAGGAGCCCCCAAAATAATAGGTAATTATTCAGGCCCCTACATTAGGACCGTTCACCTCGTTGAAGTTGTTTGAGCCTCCCAGGCTGAGCCCCTCTCGCAGGTGCTCATCGTCGTGCTGCAGAAGATCAAGTCCGGCCGGGTGAGCGTGGCCTTAGCCAGGCATAAGGATTCAGGGTTTGCAAGGGATAAGGTTCTATGGTTTACCTATAGTCTCCATTGTAGTTCCTTTTTGGGGATGCCTTGTGTATATAGTTGGTTAAACCAAAAAAGGGAACTACAATGGAGACTACAGGTAGGATTTTGTAAGGGTTTCGGGGTTCGTAAGGGTTCACGAGGCTTTAGGTTGTCAGGGTCTGCGAGGGTTTATAGGTTCCATGGTGGTGGCACGGTTTAGGGCTTCAGGGTTTGGGTTGAGGGTTGAAGGATATGAACCCTATCTGTAATCGAAAAGGCCTACCTTTTAAGGAACTATAAAAAAAACACATAATAAGGAACCCTAAAAAGGTAGATCTTCTCGGTTACAGGTTAACCCAAAACCTTATAGGTTCCATGCCTCCCGGGCTGCCGGTGGAATGTAGACGCCGGTGATTGGCGATGAATTGCGACAAGTCTCTGCTTCCGCCAAGCTTTCGGATCTACCTATCGTCTCCATCGTAGTTCCATGTTTTGGGTAACCAGTTTTATGCTAAGGACCCTATAAGCTACAATGTGGCTAGCCAAAAAAGGAACTACAATGGAGACTATAGGTTGACTGTCGAGATCCATTCAATCCCTAAGGGTCCATGTGCCCAAAGCATAGATACCTTGGCCCCAAAGTACCCAAATAGGGACTACCTGAAGGCCAAAGTATCTATTATTTGGGTACATGGACCCTTAGGGGATAGTGCTGTAGTCTGTGTGATGACACGGCGTTGCGTGCAAAATCTCGAGGCGAAGGTTCGAATGCTGGGGCACTCGGACCCAACATCCGGTACCCCTGTGCCTGTGTGCTCAATAGGCTTGAGCTCCTGCAGGATACGTAGTATAGGGCCCTTGATGCTTGGAAGAGTGTTTTGGGAAGGAGAAAAGAAATTTTGAACCATTGTTAGAATAAGGAACTAGTATTGGTACTGATTTAGGCCCCTACATTATAATTCTACACTGCTTTCTGTCGAAACCCAAACCAGGTTTAGAGCATATCAGTCGTCTGGGAGCTGATGTCAGAATTTCAGAACATCTCATATTCATGATGTTTGAGGTTTAGGGTTTAGGGCCTAGGGTTTCCTTTGGCTTCGGGCTTAGGCTGTAACCACCATCGACAGCTCTTGCGTTCCGGGCGGCCGCCATCTGTGGAAGCAATGCCAAAGCCTGAGGCCAGCGGCCGCCTGCAGGTGTTTTGGCGGGCCAAGGCCAGTACTTGGAGGCCCAGGGGACATAGTAAGTAGGTTGTAAGTAGAGTTATAAGTACCCTAAATGGAGTTACCCGAATTATAATCCTACTTATAACCGAATTACTAACTCCCCTGGGCCTCCAAGTAAGGATTCGAAGTCGCAAGATGATGGGCATGCTTCGGGCTCACAAGATGCACAGTACGGTCCCGAATATGTAGGGTTTGCATTCCGCAGTTGGGGTGTTGAGGGTTTAGAGCTGAGGCCCTAAATCCTAAAGCAGCCTGCGCGGAATAGACGGACCACCGCGGTGTAAACCCGGATGCCAGTGGGAATCCCACAGTCCTGCGGACAAAAACTCAAGCATCGTGCAGGGCAGTGTAGAGGTTTAGGCTGGAGTTTCAATTTAAGGACTAGGCTTAGGGCTTAAGTCTCGAGCTTGTCATCTGAGGTTGAGGGTCTAGAGTCAGGCTTGAAGGTGTTGAACACTGGTTAAAGGTCTGTGAAGACCTGTGATTTCTCAAGGTTTGAGGTTCGCGCGGTTCCAAGATAAGTTATCATCAGAAATCTTGTGTCACTCAAGAGGCTCCCATCCCCCCAGGCTCGACTTGGAAAAACCAACGGCCAGTAGGTTATTGAGTGCAAAGGCCCTGAGGTCCAAGCGCAGGAGCATATCGAAGAATACACAACGACATGTCTACCATGATGAGCGACGTGCCCGGCGATTCCCATTCCAAAACTAACTTAGGATTCAACTCAGCACCTTTGGAAGTAGAACGCCCTGAGTACACCGAGTCGCTCTGTGCCGAGGCCTGAGAGCTGAACTCTAAGCTGATATAGAGGCCTTAATAATTACCGATGCTATATTTTTTGGGGGGTTCCTTATTATAACTATAGTTTAATATACCACAAAACCCTATTCTAATTATTAAGGTCTTACATTAAGAAAGCGTGGACAGCTTCAGCAAACCCGGCCAACACCTCACGATCTAAGGTTGAAACCATGGGCCCTTAGAATGGGCCCTTAACCCTGGGATCCCTATACACCTACTATATACCCTATATGTACCCTTAAGGGTCCCTAGAAGGCCTAAGGGTCCATCTTCCGGGACCATACTTCTAACCTTAGAGACGATCTTTCTGCTGAAGTCCAAGTTCCACACATTCAGAACGACCTTAAGAACCCAAAACCCCACCTTTTTGTAGGTTCTTATTATAAACCCTAATATGGGATTTATAGGAACCCTACAAAAAAGTAGGTTTTGGGTTCTAAGGGAGGACCCCATCATCAGAAACAACCCACCTGCAAACAAGAACCATCAGCAGCACATCATCCCCCGCGTGCCCTGTACATCTGTTGCGTATAGATGTATCCTTTATCTAAATACATATCCTGCCCTAACCCCCCAGGTACCTACTAGATAGGGCCTCAGGGGCTCCAGTACCCTATATAGTAGGTCATTGGGGGGGGTTAGGGCTGATATATCTTGTAGACAGAGAGGGCCAGAAAGCATAGAATGCTACCCAAAGCCCCGCCAGAGTTAGAGCAGGGCGGAGAGACGGAAGGAGCCAATTCGAAGGTCCTGGATTTCGGCGAGCAGACGCACTGCATCTTGCCAATCTCTCCTGCCCAGGAGGAACAAAGTGTGCGATAGACTGGAGGTATAGTGTAGAAGCCTTAAATAACTAGTATAGAATTTTGGGGACCGTGATACTATAATTATAGTAAGGACCCCTTCGGAATAATATAGGTAATTATATTTAGGCCCCTACATTACCTGGGGTGCGAGCTAAGGCGTCAGGCTTTCAGGCTTGGGCTCAGCTAAGACCGGAGCCTCCCCGCTGTTTAGGGTTTAGGGTTTAGGGTTATCTAATGTAGGGGCCTTAAGAAGTAGAATAGGGTTTTTGGGGTTCCTTGGACTTCTAAAGTCGGGGCCTTAATAATTAGAACAGGGTTTTCATAAAAAAGGAAATCCCCCCAAAATAGTATAGGTGATTACTAAGGC